ATAGTGAGATTGAGATAATACTAGACCATCTGATGTTCTAGAAATCTTAATTCCTAGTATGACATCAGCTATGCCTAAATCTTTCATATCAAAATTTTTGGTCAACATCTTTTTAGTAGTTTTGATTATAACATCATTACTACCCATTATTAGCATATCATCCACATATAGGCACACAATGACATATCCATTTTGAGTTTTTTTCACATACACACATTTATCACACTCATTAATTTTAAAACCATTTGACAACATCACTTTGTCAAATTTTTCAAGCCATTATTTAGGTGCTTGTTTTAATCCATATAAGGATTTTACAAGTTTGCACACCTTCTTTTCTTTTCCTGGAACTATAAACCCTTCAGGTTGTTCCATATAGATTTCCTCCTCTAATTCACCATTTAAGAAGGCAGTCTTAACATCCATTTGATGTATTTCTAAGTTTTGCAGTGCTGCAGTAGCTAGTAACAATCTAATGGATGTTATTCTTGTGACAGGTGAATATGTATCAAAATAATCCAAGCCTTCTTTTTGCCTGTATCTCTTAGCAACAAGTCGGGCTTTATATTTTTCAACTGAAACATCAGGCTTCATCTTCCTCTTGAAAATCCACTTATACCCTAAAGGTTTAGTACCAGGAGGAAGATCCACCAACTCCCAAGTATGATTTTGCATGATGGATTCAATTTCACTATTTATGGCTTCTTTCCATAAATTAGCTTCAGGAGAAGACATAGCTTCCTAGCTTTGTGGCTCATTCTCCAATATATATGTCAGAAAATCAGGACCGAATGACTTAGACGTTCTAGCTCTTTTGCTACGTCTAGGTTCTTCCTCATTATCATCTGTAGACTCTTGGTCTATATTCTCTTGTATATTGCTATTAGTAGTATCATAATTTCTTTTAAGAGGATTTTTGCATAGAAATATATCCTCAAAGAAATAAGCATTCCTTGACTCAATAATTGTATTGACATGGATATCAGGAATGTCTGATTTATGCACAAGAAAACGATATGCACTACTATTCTGTGCATAGCCTATGAAAATACCATCAAAGGTTTTTGGTCCTATCTTAACTTTCTTAGGAGTAGGAACCGCAACCATAGCTAAACACCCCCACACTTTTAAGAATTTATAGGAAGGTTTTTGACCTTTCCATAATTCATAAGGTGTCACATTAGATTTCTTTTGATGTACTTTGTTGAGAACATAATTAGCAGAGAGCAAAGCTTCCCCCTACAAATTCTAGGTTAAACCAGAACTTATCAACATAGCATTCATCATTTCTTTTAAGGTACGATTTTTGTGTTCAGCAACACCGTTCTGTTGAGGTGAATAAGGAGCGGTAGTTTGGTGAATAATACCATGTTCTGAGCAAATGTCAGCGAATGGTACTTCGTAGTCACCACCTCTATCACTTCTAAACATCTTTATCTTTTTTCCAAGTTGATTCTCAACCTCATTCTTGTAATGTTTAAACATTTCCAAGGCTTCATCTTTACTTCTTAACAAGTATACATAACAATATCTTGTGCAATCATCAATAAAAGTAACGAAATACTTTTTCCCACCTCTAGTTGGCACAGATTTAAAGTCACAGATATCACTGTGAATTAATGCTAGAGGTTCAGTACTTCACTCTATGGAGTGAAATGAGGTTCTAGTCAATTTTGCTTCTACACGTGTTTGGCATTTTTGATTTAAATTAATATTAAATTTAGGTATAGATTCCATGTTAATTAATCTACGAATAGTATCATAATTAACATGTCCTAACCTACCATGCCATACATCAGATGAGTCAATCATATAAGTAGAAGAAGCACTAGCTTTATTATTATCATTAGTAGCTTTGGGTACAACAGTCATTACATTGAACTTAAATAGTCCATTACTTAGATACCCTTTCCCCACATACACCCCATTCTTAGTCAACACAAACTTGTCAGATACAAAGACCAGCTTGAACCCATTCTTGCTTAGAAGTGACCCAGAGACCAAGTTCTTCCTGATGTCTGGTACATGCAGCACATTATTAAGAGTGAGCTATTTCCCTGAGGTCATTAGTAGCTTGATCTTTCCTTATCCTTCAACCTTTGCAGTAGAGGAATTCCCCATGTAGAGTTGTTCTTCATTATCTATAGTTTCATAGGTAGTGAACATCCTCTTTTCAGAGCAAACATGACGAGTAGCTCCTGTGTCCACCCACCATTCTCTGTTGTTGCTCACCAGGTTGATTTCAGAAACCACAACTGAAAGATTTAACTCTGATACATCAGCTGTCAACTTATCTTCTTCAGCTATGTGCACCTCAGTGGTCTTCTTCTTGGGGTTATGATGTGTTTTGCGGCTACGACAATCTTTAACTCGGTGTCCTAGCATGCCGCATATGAAACACTTCCCAGTGAACTTCTTGTAATTTCCTTGGCTAGGACCTTCTCCAGAGTGCTTCCTCTTCTTATTTTTCTGTCCTGCTTCCACTACATTTGCCTTTGACACCATTGAAGAATTTCCGGCTCTCTTTTCAGATGTACGGTTATCTTCTTCAATTCTCAGCCTGACAATTAAGTCTTCGAGCCCCATTTCCTTGCGCTTATGCTTCAAGTAATTTTTGAAATCTTTCCAAGTAGGTGGCAGCTTTTCAATGATTGAAGCTACTTGAAAGGATTCACTCAATGTCATCTTTTCAGCATGTATCTCATGTAGGATCAGCTGGAGCTCCTGCACTTGGCTCACGACGGTCTTGGAGTCTATCATTTTGAAGTCCATAAATCATCCAACCACGAATTTCTTCAAGCCAGCATCCTCTGTTTTATACTTTTTGTCTAATGACTCCCAAAGCTCTTTAGCAGTATTTATTGGACTGTACACATTATATAAGGTGTTGTCCAATCCATTGAGGATGTAGTTCTTGCATAGGAAGTCTCCATGCTTCCATGTATCTACATCTATAGCTCCAATCTTGGTAATGTCTGTATCACCCCCATCTAACACTGGAGCAGTCTCAGTCAGATACTTGCTTAGATTCAGAGTTGTAAGGTAGAACATCATTTTCTGTTGCCACCTTTTAAACTCCGTCCCGTTGAATTTTTCGGGCTTCTCCCCATGACTGACGGGAACATTAGGCACGGTAATACTCGTACTTGCCATTTGTCTGTTATATACTGATATACAGACCACGAGTCAAATTATAATAATTATAACAACAATAATAATTAAATAATTATTACTATAGTATAAAGTTATCTGTCTTAAGATTGTTAATAAAAAAATGTATCATATACTACAGTATAATTTATTTAAATATTATTTTTAAATATAATATTTATTATAGTAATCTATATATATTTATATAATTTAATATCAAGAAAATAAAACTATAAAAGAACCTGATAAAGTCGAGGCTAGAATTTAATTCTATAGCCTTAAGACAGATACGCCCCGCTACGTTGCTAACGGACTCTTCGGTGTCTATCTCCCAGGATACAACGACTTTTCTTCCTTTGGTAGTAGCACTTCAAACCAATAGAATAGGCGAACCGGCTCGGTGAAGTACTCTCAGACTCGGATTCGGACTCGAAGTGAGTGACTAAGGTTCGAACCCAATTAGTTAGGGTTGAACCCAAACAGAATCCCTAAGGTTTGAACCCAATTGGTTAGGGTCGAACCCAAACAGATTATAAAAGAAAAAGAGGGAGAAGTAAATTCAGAAGGGAGAAGATTTTGTTCTGAATTTGGTGTGTTCTAAAATGAATCCAAGGAGGGCTATTTATAGGCTTAATGGTGCCTATTCCAAATAGGTGCACCCATATTCCGAATGGATGCAACCATTGTGGACCAATGAGACATTAGAAAGCCAAAACTGATTTAGGTTCAAAAGGTGCAACCCTTGATTCAAACAAAAACTGTTTTATGGTTTTTAATTTGAATTTAAACCGAACACAGATTAATCCGATCCAGCTCAGCAAGCAAACTTCGGCCATTAATTCAGCCCAGCCCAGCGTGCTCCACCCGCAAGCCCACTTAAATAAGTCCAGTAGACAAATAAAATAAATTTCAACCACACAGGCCCAGTCCAACTTTGTGTAAAAAGGTTAAACCCATTTTACAGTTAAGCCCCTCCCCGCCCATGCCCGTATCAGGTGGCGCGCGTGGTAGTTGGTTCGAATCCAGGTTAGCCTAGGTCCTCCCACTCTAAAAAACTTGGGTGCCCTTGGGCCCAAACCCAAATCTCATACTAGATATATATTTATTCAAGGTTGCTTTACTACTTTTTCGATGTGGGACAAGCATTTCCCACTTTATTCACACCCATTTAGGCTTTATAAATCACTTACTTTGGAGCCAATTTCTCATTCACCCGGAAACGGATTTGAGAAAATAAATATACCACGTTCATCTCCTCGCAGAGAGGAACGCGCTCGTCAATAGATTCGTAAAAAATTCTTAGCGGAATCTATTTAAAAATCCTTCCAAAGTTTGCGTTTTCTAATACTGTTTCCAACAGATAGGATCGGCGGCTATGTGGTCCAATGAGCAGAGATAACTTCATGCCAAGGATGTGCTCCGTTGAGCAAAGCGGCCAACGGCGGCATGCTTTGGTGTGCACAGAGATGCACAGCAGTGGTGCTCCGGTGATTGTCCTTTCCTGCGGTTACTTTGTTGGGCCTCCTTCCAATTTATATGCCAATTGATAACCATCAATCCCCTTATCTGATATTTCTTATTTTTAGTTTTGAACAAGTAACTTTAAAGGGCCAATTTATAGAATTATTTAGTCATGAAATCAATTGTTGGGAAAAGGCTTTATTGAGTTAGTCATGAAATAAACTGTTCGGCGAATGGATATATTCTATTTTGTTCAAGAACAGAGACAACCTTAATAGATATTAATTATGGATTTGTGCACTGAAATATAATATTAAAAAAAAAAAAAAAATTGGCATTGAAATGCAGATATAATTTCAATAGTGAAGTAGCAGATAGAGAAAGATAATAAAAGACCTTGTAGAAGAAATGGAAATCACTTTATTTAGTTCCATGGAAAGCGAGGAAATTCACTCGCTACATCGGTGATTTAGTCAAGTTTAGAGTCACTTAAGGTGAAAGAAGCGATACACATAACCATATATATAATTACGCATAATGAAAGAAGTACATTAGAGTTGGCAAAAGAAGAAGAAATCAGGCAAAAGCAGCTAATTTGGGCTTGGGAGGATTAACCAAACAAATGTCAAGGAGTTGATTAATAGAAGTGTATTTGTACTCAGGATAGAGTCTGGAGGCCTCCAAATCATCCTCCGTAAGTTCAAAGCTCACCTGCTCCCCTTTTATAAATATGTTGTGGAGTATTGCCACCGGTATGTTGTCCGGATACGGTAAGGCTGCAACCGCCAGGTCAAAAAAAAAAAAAAAAAAAAAACAATAATTATTAATTATAAGTTTTATGTTGTATTTGGGAACACGAAAGTGGGTCTTGTAACTAGAACTGGTATCAGAATAAATTTTAGTTCATGAAAGGAGAAAATTCCAATTCTATTTTCTACTTTCTAGACAACAATTCGGCACTCCCAAATATAACATAACTTTATTGTTTGCTTCTCCGTGAATGGAATTGAATTTTAAGATAGTACTGAATTGAGAGGGATTTGAAAAAATTATTACTCTCAGATAGTTTGATGATGTCTTCCTCGGGAACATGAGTTGCTTTGAAGGAGCGTCCAGTCTTCTTCTCCCACAAAGAAACCAAATCTAATTGGGAGACAATGTTTGCAGGGGGTCTATAGACGATGACACGATTGGACACCCTTGGATCTGTGGCTGCTTTCACCGTATAAGCTGCTACATCTTCCTCGTAGTTTAACACAGCTGCATGCATGCACATTTTATATTATTAAGATATACTCGTATATGATTATTTTCACACAAACCATAGATCTATATATCTATATATTTAAAAAAGAAGAAAGAAGAAACAAATTTTATCACTTAGATCGTTGGTCAATGAGTTAAAAAAAGAAAAAGAAATGAAGAGTGTATATATATATATATATATATATATATATATATATTTCTTGTACTATTTTACCTATTTTCTTTTGTTAATAACAAATCCTTTTAGGAAGAAAAAATAAAAAGAAAGAAAAAAGAAATATAAACCTTCAATATTGACCGGAGTAGGAAAAAAAAAAGTAAGGGAAGAGAAAAATTATAATCTTACGAACTTGCAATACAGAAAACTACAAGTAATTAGATGTCAAAACCCCTCTTTTTGGATCTCTCTCTCACTCAGAGTAGGAAGAGAAAAATTAATGACTTATTTATTTTTTGAATTAAACGATTAAAAGTTTAAAATTGAGTGGGGCCGCCAATGTTTGAAAATGGTGAAACAAACGTAAATTATACTACTAAAGTTTGAACAAATTATTTGGCGCAGGTGGCCAATAACACCCTTTGCATTTTCTTTCCAATTATTGATCAAATTTTATAAAATGACAATTCTACTTGTGTATTATATAAAATATAATTTAATATAAAGATATTACTGACTTTTATACTTAAAATTTAAAATAATATAAAAAATTAATTTTTAATTATTATTTTAAAACTTTACCATTCAACTTTTTTTTTTTATTGAACAACACCTAAGTCTAAATGGAAACATTAATTTAACAAATAAAACCATAAATAAATAAAAATAAAAAAACCTAAACTAGGCCAAAATTGATTGAGTGGTCAGGAATCAGGATCATGATTACCTGGACAATGAATGACACTTCATATGCAACTAAATTATAGAGGTCTACATTGATGTGGGGTCTATACACATGCATCCAAAAGACATGTTTTTTCATCTGTCACCAAAATGATTCTGGCGGGCTAAGTATTAGAGTCATATATCCTCAATTGACTCGAAACAATTCTCAGAGATCATGTAAATAATATCTAGATATATATAAAATAAAGATAGAGAATATATATATGTAGAGAAGTTAATAACTAATTTTAATGTTAATTAATTAGCTAGAAAATGTTAGAAATGTTATATATATCTAGAAAATGTTAATTAATTAGCTAGAAAATGTTAGAAATGTTATATATATCTGGAGAAGTTAATAACTAATTTTAATGTTAATTAATTAGGTAGAAAATGTTAGAAATGTTATATAGAGGTAGAAAATGTTAGAATAGTGACATTACGATGAATAATGAATGACATTTCATATGCAACTAAATTCTAGAGATGAATGACACTTCATATGCAACTAAATTCTAGAGGTCTACATTGATGTGGGGTCTACACAAATGCATCCAAAACACGTGTCTTCACTTATTTCTTTCTTTCTTTTTCCAAAGACATGTTATTTCATCTGCCACCGAAATGAACCATAGAAACAACCTTTGATTCTGGCGAGCACGTACAATGATAATAACGTGGACTATATTCACACAACTAAATTAAGTATTAGAGTCATATATCCTCAATTCTCTCTCCCTCGTGAGTTTCATAAATTAATGTACGATCTGAAATAATTATGTATTGATGCAAAAGAGAATAAAAGTTGAAGTTAGCATAAAATTAACACATTTATGTATTAGTATTTAATTGACTCAAAAATAATTCTATGAGATCTTATAATAATATTTAGACATATATAAAATAAAGATAGAGAATATGTATATATATGTAGAGAAGTTAATAACTAATATTATGCTTAAGATAATGTTAATTAATTAGCTAGAAAATGGTAGAAAATGTTACTTAATTACCTTTGGCTTCCCCAGTTCCATAAATAGTAAGTTGGTCAAGGTTTTGATTATGGGGATGAAGCAAGTAATCCACAAAATAGGCAGCAAATGAATTTGCAGAGACATAAGTGTAGCATATTCCAGCTGCTTCCGTTGTTCTCCTGATTTTCTTCTTGTTATCGAGCAGACTTTGGAAGGGAGGTAGTGCTCCTTTCACTCTATCAACTTCGTTTCCAAACTCTGATGGAACAAATCTCTGTATATATATATATGTTTGAGTGTGTAACAAACACAAAAATATATATATAAAAACAAAATTAAATATACAAGGATTATGATTTACTATATATATATATATATATATATATAAAAGCGGCGGGAGAGCTACTTGCAATATTCGATTACCTCTATGTTGCCGGCCTCTTTCATGGCGTTTATTATTTTGATTTGTTCAAGGTGTTGAGGAACTGCGAGTGTAGAAATCACTATATCTACCTGTTTCAAGATCGAAACAAGCTTCTCGTGTTCACCCAATTCTCCCTGCATGTATTAAATGATCAAATTAAACACCCGGATACATATTACCCACACATACATACATATATATACAAGGGGCCTCGGCATGATACTCCTCTAAAAGAGTCCCATTTTCTAATTTCTAACCATGACTCTCAAGTCACAATAACAGCAACTTTAGCGTTGCATCATATATATATATATATACCCAAACAAACACAAAAGTTGATATATATATATATATATAAGGAACGTCTATCCCATTACAGGATCCGTACGTACCTCTACCGGCCATAGAGCAACCTTGTCACCAAGGCAAACCTATTATTATATACCCAAACAAACACAAAAGTTGATATATATATATATATATATATATATATATATAAGGAACGTCTATCCCAGTACAGGATCCGTACGTACCTCTACCGGCTATAGAGCAACCTTGTCACCAAGGCCGGCCCTTTATATATATATATATATATATATATATATATATATATGATAGAGTAGTACTTGTGATATGCAAGTCATATATACACACAAATAGAGTAGTACTTGTGATATGCAAGTCATATATACACACAAACACAAAAGTTGTTATATATATATATACTTGGAAGATGGTGACTCCCATGGATTGAAATTGGTTGTGCAGCTGAAGCTTGGGATCGGAAGGATCGGAAATAGGTTTAAGTGGGCGGACGTAGGCGTAAGTTGGATGGCCCATGGAGACGCTTGCCTTCACCATGTACTTGCCAAGGTAGCCAGTAGCCCCGAAAATCAGTATCTTCTTGCTCTTTTCATAATCACCACCCATGATTATCACCTCCTCTATTATTTTCCTTCCGTAATGTGCTTCACTACTCTCCTGACTCCCCTCACTATATATACATCTACATATATACATGTATATTTGGGTGGGGCTATTGTGCATGTACTATGAAAAGAGTGGTGGGGTTCAATTTGAAGTAATTACACACAAATTTTAAAGAAGACGAAAAAGGACGAGAGACTCTCTCTTTTTAGTACATTCAATAAGGGACGAGAGACTTTCGACTAATATGTTTAAATAACATTATTATTATTTTCAAGTGTCCTTTAATATTTAACCCTTACCATCCCTCCATTAAAGTCAAGTGAAACAAAAAAATAGTAAATGCCAAGGTAACCTCTCACATGCAGTACATTTACAAAATTAACCTCATCAGTCAAGTCATGTAAAATCACTATATTGTCATTAGTAATTAGACCAAAATACCACTATCTACAACACTTTAAAAACAAAAAACAGATAAACTTGATATCATTTTATTATATTTATATAATTAGCCGTGATATATCTTCCGACTCAATTCACCGAAATATCCTCCGAATCAAACGTCATCCCCATAAGTTTCTCTTTTCTAGAAGAGCGGACTGCACCAAAACAAAAAAAAAAAAACCTTTACCCAGGCCAAGGATGAAACTGCTCCAATAAGACGGAAAAGATTAAGAAGGTGGAGAAGGAAGATATAATGGTGAAATTTTCACTTGTCAGCTGCCAACAATAGTGAACGTCCGCCAAAATTGGGTCGTCCAATCACAGCCTCGCAGTTGTCCTCTTATGGACTTGGGACCATCCCTACATGTTAGGGCACAACAGTGGCCATGGATTCTAGAAACAAAGAGGAAGAAAGTGAGACCGCGCGCGCGCAGGGGGGGGGGGGGTCTTGACTTCCCAAGTTAGACAGATTTTTAGAGAGAGAAAACCAAGGTTACTTGGTGAGATAACGTGGCTATGCCACATCGGTTTCGGAGGAAGTTTCGGTTGTTTAGGTTGGAGGAAATATCATTTCCATCGTAGAATAGAAAAATTAAAAAATCAAAGATATTCATTCAATTTATATATAGGCATGTAAAATGTTTTTTCAAAAGACTTATATAAATTACGTATTAAATTATATAAATAGGAAGTTTTATTTTTTTTTAAATGGCAATTATATATTTATATATATATATATCAAAATAATGTATTTCATTTATACAATTAAAAATATATTTGTGGGCGTCACTTAATAAAGTCTGACATGGCAAGTTGACAAGTCAATACAACCCTAATTAAATCCCCCGTGGAAATGTAAAAAGTCAAAAGCCTCGAAGGGCCAACCCTCGAGCACATTAAGCTCTGGCATCGCTCCAGGCCCATAAAGCCTCGAGGGTCCAACTCTCAAGCGCATCAAACCCTGGTATCGCCCTAAGCCCATCAAGTGCCTCTGCAGACCAACCCTCGAGCACATTAAACCCTGGCATCGCTCCAGACCCATAAAGCCTCGAGGGTCCAGCCCTCGAGCGCATCAAGCTCTGGTATCGCCCTAGGCACATCAAGTCTCGCCGGACCAACCCTCAAACACATTAAGTCCTGGCATTGCTCCAGGCTCATCAAGCCTCGATGGACCAACCCTCAAGCATCTTAAGCCTTGGCATCGCTTTAAGCCCATCAAGCCTTGAGAGGCCAACCCTCGAGCACCCTAAGCCCTGGTATCACCCCAGGCCCATCAAGCCTCGAGGAACCAACTCCCGAGCACCTTAAGCCCTGCCATCACTCCAGTCCCATTCAGCCTCGAGAGACTAACCCTCGAGCACTTCAAGCCCTGGTACCTCTCCAGGCATATCAAGTCTCGAGGAACCGATCCTTGAGCATCCCAAGCCTTAGCGCTCTGCTAGGCAACATTGCATCAAAAGGTTGAAGCCCCGAAGGGCTCGCTATTAAAATTCTACAGATCTATATATAGCACGAAACGAAGGTAGGGACTTCGCGGCTGTAAGGAATCTAATTTTGGGAAACTTAAGAAGATCTTGGATTGGTGGATGAGAAGTCGAGAAGTGCCTTCGCTTTCAGCAGGGCCCCAATTAACAAGATGATGTGATTATATGCATTATGACAGCAAACCTTAAGATCACATTAAATACTGTGTCAGGCTTGACCAACCGGCGGCCAAGCAACATTTAATGCCGATTAAGGGAAAAATGACATGGCAACATAGTGCAAGGCTCGATGAAAGGATTAGACCCTTTAGACTCCTAAACCCTCAGGATTACCCGCATAATCTTGACTAGGAGCAATGCATGCAAGAAACCATGCACGAAAGGGACCATTGGATAACAACCAATGGAATCCGAGCCTATAGATAGTACTATCCTTTGAAGGGATAACTAACCAGAAAAGGGAAGCTGTCATAAGAGACTGTATACTTGCTGTACCACCATCTTAATCTTGATAATTGGTCTCCTTCTCCTCCTCCTCCTTCTCCTCCTCCTCCTACACTGAGCATTTCCTCTGTTTCCTTTATATTTGTATTTCTTATATCACCATTGTATAATTATTTATTGCTTGATCAAAAAGAACCCCTACATTTTGGCGACTCCGCTGGGGATATTAGTACAAGCAGATGGAATCATAGGACATGCAGACTCACCACTCAGAACCTTCTGTTGGGGGAGGTGGTGATGTTTCCTTTCACTCTTAAGCACCATCACATGCCTCCAACGTTCGTGCACCTCACGTCACACTGCCGAAAAGTTTAACAGCCCCTTCCATTCATGAGGAACTGATGCAGTCCAACTGCAATCTTAACGAGTGCCTTGACAGACTGGAGGCCATGATCACGCAAAGTGTAAGGGCCGTGTAATACCCCTATATTTTAAAGGTATTATTTATTGGGATTAATGATTTTTAATTTTATTTAAATAATTTATTTAATTTATTTGGGATTACTTGCTTTTATTTTTATTTTCAAATGATTTGTTTCAATTATTTGAGTGTTATGATTTAATTGTCTTATTTTTATTAATTTATATTTCGTGATTATATATAATGATTGTTTGTTTGTGTGCTTAATTATTGATTGTTGGCGTGTTGATTTTATGGGTATGGTGTAACTTGGTTGTAATTTTTTATTTATGTATGTGCGTTATGTAATTAGTTATTTAATTTAAGTATTTAATAATTATTTAAGTTATTTAAATTAATTGAATTTGGACTTAAGGGAAATTGGACCAAAGGATGTGGTTTTGGGCTTGAAGGAAACTTTATTGGGTTAATTAATAAAGGCTCATGGATATGAAGATATTTAAATAATTATCTTTGTATAATTATATATATATATATATATATATATATATAATTATATGTATAAAAAAATTATTAATTAATAATCATTATGGAGGGGTATATATGTCAATATGTATATATATTGATATATATAGGTATATATAATCTATTTAACTAATGATTATATATGGAAGGTAATATACATATATATCTTAGAATATATGTGTGTATATATATTATTTAAAAGATAAATATTATTTCTTTTATATGGTAATCATAATTGGAAAAGGATTATGGTATTAATGTAGTTATATATATACGTAGGATTAATTTATTAAGGAGGTTTTGGCATGTTAGAAAAATAAGAGAGGCAGAGAGAGAAGAAGAAAGGGCTGAAAAGGAGGATGCTAGATCTGAGAAAGAAGATGCCGGAATTGGAAAAGACAATCAAGGCTTGAAGCATCGGCTTCGTTTTAAAACTTTCAGGCAAGTTTTCTCTACTTTTCCTCTTATAACTCATAAGGATTTCACCTTGAGTATCAATGTTTAGATTAATCTTATTTGCTTAAAATTATGGTTAGATCGGATTAATCAAACGAATGATTTATTATATTTTATTTGTTAAAACTTTGGATTTTAAATTGTTAGATATGTGTGTTGTATTTATTTAAAATCAACTATTATGTTGATCTATAGCTCAAGAAGGTTATTTAGGGTTTATAGAAGTTTTAAGAATTTTTTGTATTTTTCTGGGATTTTTCTATAATTTTGTTTGATTTATTTTGCTATATTTGTTTGGAAATTAATTATATATTTATATTTATATACGGTATATATATATATATAAGGCCGCTCCAGTAGAGAAATCGGCGCCTCTAACATGGGAGGTGATTCAGTGCGACGCATCACACGGCGCTACGGTGTGCACAAATCAGGACCATAAGTTGGTCCTGATGATTAAAAGAATGATCCAGTGTGGGCGTGTCATAGGAATATGGTACACACTAGATCTGGGCCGTTGAATGGAGTGGATTAATGGAGGATGATCTAGTGCATCACGAAGTATGGAGATTTGATGCGCGCATGCATCTGAACCGTAGATGATATCGGGTCAATAGAATAGAGATCCAATGCATTGCGGCTCACAAAAACACAAAGGGGCAGCCAATCAGAAGCAGCCACACTGGCCGAGAGTTTAATAGGCGCATGAGGGCGCGTGGACGCGCCTGCCAGTGAGTATAAGAGCGTGGGGGTGCGTGCAGTGTGGGTAGGAGCGTGTGGTAGTGCATGAGAGCGCGTGGGGATGCATGCGGGGCCTCGAAAAGTTCTTATGGGGTCCAGTGATGTTCCAGAGTTGATTTTAAGCTTGTTGGTGTTGAAATCAACCCTCAAAGGATGTGTTATTGGTGTTCGGAGAGTTATAAAGTATCACCACGATATTTACTGGGCGTATATATAATTAATTAATAATTTGTGATGGAATGAGGTATAAATAAATAAATATACATATATATATATATATATATATATATATATATATATATATATCATTTAAGAGTATTAATATTATTATTCTTATTTGGTAGAAAGGAGTGGTTGATTAAATCATAATAGGCTGATTATTAAATTATTGATATGCATATAATATGCATGAGGTGTCTATGTATGATTTAGGTTGTTGTTGAGTTTAAATTGGGTACATGGTTGAATTGTAGGCGTGGATAAGTTGTCGTAGGCGTAAATATATTGCCTAATTATTGGTATGAATAAAATACATATATAGGAAATATAG